AGTGTTCGTAGCGATTTTAACATAAAAACATCAAAAAACCAATGGTTTTTCAAAAAAAAAGTGTCAAAATTTCATCCCGCGCGCTCTTGCGGATTTGTAGGAAACCCAACACTTTTTAAACATTTCTGTCAAACGGGCTTTTGCGAGCAACTTTTTCGAACTTCTGCAACAACGGTTGCGCACCTGCCAGGGCCATCATCCCTGTCAAATAATACCATGCGGGACACATTCGTTTTTTCTTCGCGCGCGCACGCCGTCGTCGTCGGCCGCGGGGCCCTGAATAGTAGCCACGGTCGTCCGCATGCCACGAAGTGAAGTGTCCGAACGTCATAGGGCGGGAAGCTGGGTGTGGGTGGTGGCGAAGAGTCGTTTGGAAATTTGGTAGAGCTTGAACCGGCCCCCCCACAAAGTGGGGGTATTGCCCGCCTCCTATGAAAACCCTGGCACTGGTGAGAACGGAGTGTCCCCACGTGCTAGTAATTGTTGTTGTTGTTGTTGTTGTTGTTGCTGTTGAATTCTCATTCCTGAACAATAATTATTGTTGATCCCCCCCACCGGTGCATACTGCTTTTTCTCAATCAAAGTGTACCCCTCGACGCTCGCACCCTGTTTTTTGACAGGGAAAGTCTTCCTGCTCAAACTGGCCCCCTGGCCTCCCCCCGGGTTGCAACAACAACGGCTCTCGCTTGAGACTTCCTCACAATGCAGCCAGGACCCCCGCTCCCGCCCGAGACTTCCTCGCATTTTATTCAGGAATCGCGCTTTCGCTTGGGACTTCTTTACAATTTATTCCGGGATCGCTCTCCCTGCGCTCTGGAGTCGCGCTCTCGCTGGAGAGTTGTTTGCAACTTACTGAAGAATAGCCTTGCGTTGGTATTTCTTGCAATTTGCCCAAGCGCCGCGCTCCCGACACCCAGGCACCCAGGAGTCGCGCCCGTTGTGGCCCCATGTGCATGCCTTTCGTGGCCCCGCAGTCGCCATTTGTGTCCCCCTCACTGTCCTACGTGGCCTAGTTGCTACCCTCAGTGGCCCCATAGTTGCCTTCTGTGGCCCCGCATTATCTGCACTTCGTGGCCCCCGCTCGTTCGCGCTCTTCGTGCCCCCATACGCATTCCCTTCGTGTCCCCGCTGTCGCCCTTCGTGGCCTACCTCGTGCCTTTCGTGGCCCTGCTGTCGGTCTCTCTCGCTCTCGCTTTCGCTCGTCGTCGCCGTCGTCGTCGTCGTCGCCGTTGTCGTCGTCGCCGTCGTCTTCGACGTCGTCGTCGTCGTCGTCGTCGTCGTGGTCGGTCCCCTGTCCGTCCCTCTTGGGGTCGGGTCGACGGTCCGCGGCCGCCCCGCCGATCAGCGCTGCCGTTGGCCAGGCCGACGGTCCGCGGCCGCCCCGCCGCTTGCTGGGGCCCGGCCTGCAGGGAAGAAAGGTACCCCCCCAAAAGGGTTCGTTCGAAGACGAAGAGGGCGGGTATCGAGGGTTTGGGAAATACGCGTTATTGGACACTCGAGCATATAAGGGCGAACGGTCCTAAGATTATTATTATTATCATTATTATTATTGCTGTTGTTGTTGATGTTGTTGTTCTTGGACTCTCATTTGTCAAGAATATGTAGAGTTGATTCCCCCTCCAGTAACATATGTGGCTTTTCAATTTAAATGCCCCTTCCTGGGGTTCGCACCCTGTTCTTTACCAGGAATGTCTTCCTCCTCAAACTGAGTCGTTGGCCCCCGGTTTACAACGACAGCGGTTCCTGTCTGATATTTCCTCACCATTTATTGAAGAATCGCACTGTCGCTCGGGGCGTCCTCGCAGTTTAGTCACGAATCGCGCTCTCGCGTGGGACTTTCTCGCAATTTATTCATACGATGCGCCTTCGACGCTCAGGAATCACGTTCTCGCCTTTTTCGTTATTTCCTTGGGAATCGCGCTATCGCTCGAGACTTCCTCGTGATTCATGCAGGACTCTCGCTTCAGCAACCCGCCTGCTCGACCTGGTCGCCTGGGCCCGCCTTCCCGACCTGCCCGCGATGGGTCTGCCCACCCGATCTGCCCGTCTGGTTCTACCACTTGTTTTCTGCTCTTTGCCCCCTGCTAATTTCCCTTGTGTTCCATTCTTCTTCCTCCCCCTTTCGCTCGTTCTCCCCTGTTTTGGGGGCTGCGCTGAATGCGCGTATCAGGTAAAGATCTACCCCCAAGGGGGCACGATCCAAGACGACGAGGGCGGGTGCCGAGGGCTTGGGATATACGTTTTGATTGGCACGCGAGCAGATCGGAGCGAACAGGTTTAACATGATTGTTGTTGTTGGTGCTGCTGCTGCTGTTGTTGTAATTATTGTTGATGTTTTTTTGTTGTTGCTGCTGCTGCTGTTGTTATTGTTAGTGTTGTTGTTGTTGTTGTTGTTGTTGTTGTTGTTGTTGTTGTTGTTGTTGTTGTTGTTGTTGTTGTTGTTGCTGCTGCTGCTGTTGTTGTTGTTGTCGTTGAGTGTTCATCACTAAACAGTTTTTATTGTTGGACCGAAACGCCGGCTACATTTTCATTGAGAATAAGGCTCACGCTCGAGCGGTTTGGGGGACCGCCAAAACCGGCCCCCAACAACAACAACAACAACAACAACGCTCCCGCTCGAGACTTCCTCCTTTTTACTCAGGGCTGGTGTTCTTGCTCGCCGCCGAGAGCCGCCGTCCTCACAAGACCAGCGCTCCCGCTCGAGACATCCTCCCGTTTTACCTTGGACTGGCGCGCTAGTCTTTCTCTCATCGCCGCCGCCCCCAGCAAAAACAACGCTCCCGCTCGAAGCGTCCTCCCTTTTTTACTCAAGGCGGTGCTCCTCCTCGCCGCCGTAAGCCGCCGCCCCGACAAAAGCAGCGCTCCCGCCCGAGACTTCCTTCCGGTTTACGCTGGACTGGCGCCCCAATCTCTTTTGAATTGACGCCGCTCCCAGCAAGACCAACGCTGCCGCTCAAGGCTTCCTCCCCTCTTCCTGAGGACGGTGCTGGTCCTCGCCGCCGACAACGCCCGTCCCGACAAGACCACGGCTCCCGGTCGATGCTTCCTCCCTTCTTACTCAAGGCGGTGTTCCTCCTCGCCGCCGTAAACCGCCGCCCCGACAAAACCAGCGCTCCCGCCCAAGACTTCCTTCGTTTTGCGCTGGACTAGCGCCCTACTCTCTTTTGAATTGGCGCCGCTCCCAGCAAGAACAACGCCCCCGCTCGAGATGTTTTTTTCTTTTTCCTCGGGACGGTGCTGTTCCTCGCCGTCGCAATCCTGTTGTTCGATACCTGCTTGTGCTTTACCCTTCGCTGGGGTTCCACTGGCGGTCTCGTATCGGCGCAGCAAGGCGCGGGCATGTGTTTTCGAGGTGGGATATGTTGAAGTTCCTCGGAGGGGGTGTTTGCAAGACCTCATTGCGCGGGAGATTTGGGAATGGGAATAACGGACCCCGCTTTAGAACAATAGTCCCCCATGATGTGGATGGTTATCATGATGGTCGCATGCTTCGTGTGGAAACATCGCATCGCGCATGAGGGTAAACTGATTGTTGTTGTTGGTGTTGTTGCTGCTGTCGTTGTTGATGTTGTTGATGTTGTTGTCGTTGTTGTTATTGTTGTCGTTGTCGTTGAAATCTGGCTCCTGAAGAACATTATTGTTAACCGTTCCATTTTTTCAATCGAAGTGTCCCTCCTCGGGGCTCGCATCTTGTTTTCTACCAGGGAAGGCTTGATGTCACCAAACTGGGCCCTTGGCCCCCCGAGTGATACAACAATAACGGCTCTCGCCTGATACTTCTCACAACTTATTCCAAACTCGCGCTCTCGCGCGGGACTCCCTCGCAATCTATGCAGGAATCGCGCTCTCGCGTGGAATTTCCTCGTAATTCATTCAGACGCCGTGCCCTCGACACTCAGGAATCACGCTCTCGTTTTGGCCTCTCTCACGATTTACCTGGGAATCGCGCTACCGCTCCAGACTTCCTCGCGATTCATGCAGGACTCGCTTCAGCAACCCTCCTGCTCGACCCGGCCGTCTGAGCCCGCCTTCCCGACCCGCCCGCTAGGGTCTGCCCGCCCGAGCCCCTGCCACGCGTTTTCTGCTCCTAGCCCCCCTCCTGCTAGTTTCTCTCGTGCTCCATCCATCTCCCTCCCCCTTCCATCCGTCATCTCTTCCCCTGTTTTGGGCGCTGCGCTAAATGCACGTGTCAGGTAAGGGAGATATACCCCCAAGGGGGCACGATCGAATACGAAGAAGGTGGGTGCCAAGGGTTCGGGATCTACGTGTTCAAGGCACACGAGCAGACGGGAGCGAACAGTCTTAATTTGATTATTGTAATGATTGTTGTGGTGGTGGTTTTTGTTGTGATTGCGGTTGTGGTTGTGGTGATGGTGGTGGTTGTTGTTCTTCTTGTTGTTGTTGCTCTTGTTGTCGTTGTTGCTGTTGTTTTGGTTGTTATGGTTGTTGTTGTTGTTCTTGTGGCTGCCGTGGTTCTAGATAATGACGACGATGATACCGATGATGAGGATGAGGGGAACTGATGATGATGCTGCTGCTGATGATGCTGATGCTGATGCTGATGCTGATGCTGATGCTGATGCTGATGATGCTCATGCTGCTGCTGATGATGATGATGATGATGATGGTGATGGTGATGGTGATGGTGATGATGATGCTGATGATGATGCTGCTGATTATGTTAATCATGATGGTGAAGCTGATGATGCTGATAATGGTGATGATAATGCTGCTGATGATGATGATGCTTATGCTGATGCTGCTGCTGCTGCTTCTGCTGATGATGATGCTGCTGCTGCTGATGATGATGATGATTATTACTATTTTTGTTTATGCTAGCATCATTATTAGTACTAGGATCGTTCTTGTTATTATTATTATATCTCTTCTTCTTCTTCTGATGATTATTGGCGGATGACGAGTTTGTTCTGGCGCGAGCACGTGGAGGGTGAACGGCGGCCAGCAGCGCTGTGCCCCTGGTCCCGGCAGCCGCCCCGCAGGCGGCACCCGCGGCAGCGGCCGCTCCCGAGGGATGCAGAGGAGCCCCCGGCAGTGCGCCCGCCCGCGGGGAGGGTGCGGATCAGGGTCAGGCGATCTCCTCCTCCTCCTGCTCCTCATCCTCCTCCTGCTGCTGCTGCTCCCCCTCCTCCTCCTCCATTTCCTCCTCCGCAAACATGCACAGGTGTGGAAAGACGTTCGCCGCCATGCGGCGCCTTGCGGTGCCTTCCAGTGCCCTGAGGGGCAGGCAGCCAGGCGGGCGCGCGGACGCGCTCTTCGGGCGCCATGCATCGGCGCTCACCTCCATGCGCCGCCTTGCAATACCGGGGAGTCGATTGCCAGGGCGTGGATTCGGCGTCACCCCAACATATTCATTTCATACCTGCGTCGCCCCCCCAGGGGCGACGCGCGCACCGAGAGTTCTCATAGTATATGCGTCGTGGCGTCTGCTTTCTGGCCACACCGCTCGGGACACGATATATATATATATATATATATATATATATATAATATATATATATATATATATATATATTACAAGATGGGTATACTATATGTGTGGGTCGGACGCGCGCCTCCAAGGAGGACATAGTACTAGTCTGTGCGTCCCATGGATTAGCGACGGGGAGGGTGCGGATCAGGGTCAGGCGATCGCAAGCATCTGGGGATCGAAGAATGACATAAACCTAAAAGCTCGGAGGTCCGCGCGGATTTCTCGGATCCGCGCTGGAACCTCCCAGCGGCGCCTCCAGCGCCGCCCCTGTCGCGCTCCGCGCGCCAAGGAGGGGGTCCAGCGCCGATCCGAGAAATCCGCGCGGACCTCCGAGTATTTCTGTTTATATCGTTGTTCGTTCCCCTAAACATGCACAGGTGTGGCCGTGCAGGCAGGTCAGCGCAACGGCGCCTCCAGAGACGACGGACGCGCAGACGGAGCAGGTGCCTCGAGCCTCCCGACCTGATTTGGCACAGCTGATGTCTATGATGTGCGCAGCGGCCCCATGGCGGATCGTTGGGGCTCTGGCGCAGGGTCTTCTGGAGGTCATCCAAGGAATCCAAGGTCAGGCGATCGCAAACATGGATCAAAGGGGTGTGGATTAGCGACGCGTCCCGTTTCCAGGGGGAAGCGCGGATTTCCGCCGCCGAGCGAGGTGGCATTGGCCGCATTTCGGGGAGGACACCTCCCCCGATGGATTTGGCGACCGCGCGCCAAATTTATGGATCGCTAATCCGTGTTTGTGCGCCCCCGACAGGGGGCAGCGTCAGCCGAAGAAGCAAAACGGCACACCCGTCGGTCGTCGAAAGTAGGTATTTTTGGATGCCCAGGTCCCATATCTACTTCTGGCACCCTCCTACTTCAAAAACGGATCTGCTTGTGCTGTGTTTGGCTATCCTCCGGGAGTCGAAGAAGAAAAACGCCACAAACATAAACTTTGGGCGCTCCGCGCGGATTTCTTGGATCGGCGCCCAGGCCCCCCTGGCGGCGCCTCCGGCGCCGCCCCTGGCGCGCTCCGCGCGCGATGGAGGGGGGTCCAGCGCGGATCCAGGAGATCCGCGCGGACCGGCGAAAGTTTGTGTTGATGGTATTCTTTCTGCTCCCAGGGAGGGCCTGAACCCATTTCACTTCACACTTCATGGTTCCACCTGCTTCTTCCGACCGACGGGTAAACACGCACACACTTTTCGACGGCCCAGGCGGAGTTCTTGGATCTGCGCTGCCCCCCCCCGCGCTCCCCGCTCCTGGCCCCTTCCCGCGCCTCGTCCTCCGTCTCCACCTCCGCCTCCGCCCTCCGCTTCTTCGTCTCCCTGGCCCCCGGACGCCGCGGAGCCCCCGCGACCCCGGGCTAGAGGTACAGCAGGGCCGAGCTGGACGCGCTGCCGAAGCCGCTGGGTGCGCCAGGTGGCGGGGGTCGGGGAGGAGGGGGAGGGGGAGGAGGAGGGGGGAGGAGAGGAGGGGGAGGAGGAGGAGAGGGGGGAGGAGGGTCTTGATCTCCAAATGAAGAGGAGTTCGAGGGGGTGGGGGAGTATGCTACTGCTGATGACGTTATGATGATGATGATGATGATGATGATGATGATGATGATGATGATGATGATGATGATGATGATGATGATGATGCTGATGAGGGTGATGATGGTGATGATGCTGATGATGATAATGATGATGATGGTGATGGTTGTGATGACAATGATGATGATGGTGGTAGTGATGATGATGCTGATGCTGATGATGCTTATGACGATGATGATGATGATGATGATGATGATGATGATGATGATGATAATGATGATGATGATGATAATGATGGGGAGGAGGAGGTGGACGATGACCATTATGATGATGATGCTGATGCTAATGCTGATGATGATTATGTTTACGATGATGATGATGCTGATGATGATGATGCTGATGCTGATGATACCGCTGCTGCTGGTGCAGCTGCTGCTGATGATGACGATGCTTATGATGATGCTGATGCTGCTGATGATGATGATGCTGATGACGATGATGATGCTGATGCTGATGCTGATGATGCTGATAATGAGGATGATGCTGATGATGAGGATGATGCTGATGATGATGATGATGATGATGATGATGACGGTTATGCTGATGATGCTCATGATGCTCATGATGCTAATGCTGATGATGATGATGATGATGATGATGATGATGATGATGATGGTGGTGGCGATGATGCTGAGGATGCTGCTGACGATGTCGCTGCTGCTGCCTCTGCCGATGATGATGCTTCTGATAATGATGATGATGATGATGATGATGATGATGAAGATGAAGAAGACGAGGATTCTGATGATGAGGCTGCTGATGATGATGATGATGATGCTCATGATGACGGTGACGATGACGATGATGCTGCTGCTGCTGATGATGATGATGGTGACGGTGGTGATGACGATCATGCTGTTGCTGCTGCTGCTGATGATGATGATGATGATGACGGTGATGATGACGATGATGATGCTGATGGTATTGCTGATGTTGATGATGATGATGATGATGATGATGATGATGATGATGATGATGACGGTGTTGATTCTGATGATGATGATGATGATGCTGCTGCTGATGATGCTGATGATCATGATTATGCAGATGCTGATACCGATGCTGCTGCTGCTGCTGCTGATGATGATGATGATGATGATGATGATGATGATGATGATGATGATGATGTTGTTGTTGTTGTTGTTGTTGTTGTTGTTGTTGTTGTTGTTGTTGTTGTTGTTGTTGTTGTTGTTGTTGTTGTTGTTGTTGTTGTCGATGCTGATGAAATGGAGGGGATGGAAGAGACGATTGAGGTGTAGAAGGGGGAAGAACACGTGGATGGGTGAGTAGCAGGGTTCGAGGATTGAGACGGCGAAAGGCAGGTGACGCGAGAGAGACGCTAGGAAAGAGGACAGCTGGATGTCGTGGCAGGGACGCAGTGCGCAGTGGGTTCGGAGCACTGCGGTGCCTTCTCCCAGCTTCCGCTTGCCTTCTCCCTTGCAGACGTGGATGGGAGCCCGCAGGTGTGGCGCGTGGGGACACGGGGGCCACGGCCAACTCTGTCCAGCGGGACCGCCCCGGCCTTTCTCAGGGAGGAGGAGGAGGAGGAGGAGGAGGAGGAGGAGGAGGAGGAGGAGGAGGAGGAGGATGGAGGAGGAGTAGGCGGGGAGGAGGAGGAGGAGGAGGCGGAGGATGAGGAGGAGAGGAGAGGGAGGGAGGGAGGGAGGAGGAGGAGGCGGAGAAGGAGGAAGAGGAGGAGGAGGAGGAGGAGGAGGAGGAGGAGGAGGAGGAGGAGGAGGACCCCTCTCTCTCCAGGGGCTGTCTTTTGTGCCCTCCGCCCGCGGGCCTGTGTGGGTCGCCGCGTGCCTCTGCTATACGCCGCTCCGCCGTCGCGCGGCAGAGACCGCGGCTCGGCCTGCGTGGAGCGGAGCACGCAGGCCGAGCCACGGCTTCCCAGACATTGTTGTTCGCGTGGAGAGAGCCGAAGCAGCCGCCTGGGGGCCCCTGCCGTGGGGCAAGCCTGGGCTCCCAGGGGCGCCACCCTGGTGTCGTGCACGCGGGCTCCTGGGTGGCGAGGTCCGGGTGGACCGAGATCTCCGACGCAGTTTGTGGTTCCCAGCGCTCCTGTGTTGTTGGATCCTCGTTTTGAATCCGCAGCGCCGCGCGTCTCACTCCTCGCCTCCCTTCTCCTCCTCTTTCGCCTCCTCCCTCCCTCCCTCCCGCCCTCCCTCCCCTCCTTGTCTCTGCTCTCCGCATGCCCATTTCGCAACACACCCCTCACACGTTTCGTCCCCCATGTGGGGTTCTACCTACGGCCCCAGAGAAGGCGCCCGCATGGCGGCGCCGCGCCCAGTTCGGCGCACCCTTCACACAATTCGCGGCCCGTAGGGAGCTCCACCCACGGCCCAAGGGAGGGCGCCCGCATGGCTGCGCCGCGCCACTTGGGCACAGTGTTTGCACGTTTCGTGCCCCACAGGAAACCCCACCCACGGCCCCAGAGAAGGCACCCGTATGGCGGCGCGGCGCCCAGCTCGGCGCACCCCTCGCACGGTTTGCGCCCCACGGGGAGCTCCACCTGCGGCCCCAGAGGCATGGCCCCGCAGTCCCGCAGCGCTTGCGCGTGCCTTTGGCGCGCTTGGCCCGCAGCCCCCGCGGCGCGGTGGTGAAGGCGAGGGCCGGGAACGGGCTCACCGCCAAGGCCCACGTGCTCTCCGTCCCGTGGAGGCCCGCCTCGGGCCCCGGGGCCGTCGGCGACGGGAGCATCCGGGGGCCCCTGGGGGTGCCTGGGAACGTCTGGGAGACCTGGGAGCGCACTGTGTGGATCAGCCGGCCTCCACCGCACTGGGTTTTTGTTGCAGGATCCCGAGGTTGGATGGGCGCGCCAAAACAGGACCCGGGGCGAGAGCCTGGCTTTGGGATCGGGGCGATCGAGACGGGTGCGGAAAGGATGGGTACGATGCCCAACAGCAGTTCCCGTTCATTCTGAGCAGGAATCGCTGCCCGCGCCGCCACGGACACTTTTCTTTGAAGGCAAAACGTCGCCTGCCCAACAGCGGCCGCTATCGGTTTTGGGCAACATTTCTTGTTGGGCATTGTACTCACACACCTATTTCGGGCGCCCACATGGGATAGGGGGTCTGGAGCTCGGAGGCCCGCATCGATCGGAGGTTCGGGGATATCTCTGGCCGAGGCCTCGCTCCGGGAGGCGTCCAGGAAAGTCTTGCCTTCCCTGGCCGCTGAAGTTCGCGCTCCTCCTTCGGGGCCCCTGCCGTGGGCGAGGTGCAAAGATGCCCGCCTCGGCTCTACCATTTCGGAGGGTGCTCGAGTCCCCTGGGGTGTGGGTGAACGACGAAGAGCGGAGGAGGCTGCTCTTCTGTCCTCGTCCTCCTTGTCCTCGTCTTCGTCATTGTCCTCCCCTCCCTCCCTCCTTATCCTCCTCCTCCTCCCTCCTCCTCCTCCTCCCTCCTCCTCCTCAATTGCACACTCTGAATACTACTCTCCACTCTCGATTCTGTCAGGAAAATCTCCAGACCCCTCAGCGTACTGCTCTTTCACACAGGTTTTGAAGCATCGATTCTTCATGTTTTGTTTTTGCAATCCGATTGTTGTCGTTGTTTCACAATGGTGCTCTCCCCGAGCGTGGGCCTCATTTTCGGATCGGCGCTTAGCTCCCGTCGTTCAGAGTGGCGCTCTCGCCCCACCGCGTGCCTCTCTTCCTCCGCCTTCCCCTGGTCCTCCTGTCTTCCTGCTCCTCCCATTCCTTCCACTCCAGTTCCTGCTGCTGCTGTTCGTCCGCGCACTCCTCCTCCTCCTCTTCCTCCTCCTCCTCCTCCTCCTCGTCCTCGTCCTCGTCCTCGTCCTCGTCCTCCTCCTCATCCTCATCCTCGTCATCCTCCTGCTCATCCTCCTGCTCACCTGCCTCCTCCTCCTCCTCCTCCTCCTTCCTTCTCCCTCCTCCTCCCTCTTCCTCCTCCTCCTCCTCCTCCTCCTCCTCCTCTTCCATCTCTCCTCCTCCTCCTCCTCCTTCTCCTTCCTCCTCCTCCATCTCCTCCTCCCCCTCCCCCTCCTCCCTCCTCATCTTCCCTCCTCCTCCTTCTCCTCCACTTCCTCCTCCTCCTCCTCCTCCTCCTCCTCCGGTCGCCTACGGCCCCAGGGGAAACCGTGCAGGCCTCGGAGCCGTCCACCGACGACTCTGGCTGAACGCCTGGTCTTATGATGTTCCTACCTACTGTAGCCTCGATCGCCAGAACGAGTTTCGAGCACCAGGAGAGTGCTCCAACTGGAGGGATTGTCCGTGTCTGGCCCCGGGGGGCGACACTCATTCGACGCTTCGCTGGCGTGTCGGGCAGACACTGCTTCGATACTGTTCTGGGTGCTCGAAATGATTTCTGGGATGTGGTCCTTAAGTACGATAGGAGCAACATAAGTCTGCTTCTCGGGAGTGGGTTCAGATCTGCTGCAGAAGCAAGGGGCGCCCTCGAGGGCGCGACGTTCTTCCCTCTTCGCGCTTCACGGTTCGGCTTCGATTCCTCATCCTCCTCTTCTCCCCTGGGGGCGGCGCGAGAGCACGCAGTTTTATTCGCGCTTCGTGCTTCGCGCAGCGCGAAGCGCGAAGCTAGGCTTCCTTGTACAATATTCACGACGTCGTAGTTCTGGGTAGTATGCACCCGCACCCACACTCAGTATCGTTGAAACGAATCCTGTCCGCAAACTCGTTCCCAACCCGATCCCCATCCCGACCCCCACCATCCCACCACCCCAGTTGGGAACTCCCCCTCGAGAACCGAAAGAAACATATTATATCCCCAGCTAGGGGGGTAGATCGGCCAAAGGGGCCAATGCCACGCCCGTGGGGATAGGGATCGTTTACTCCAGATTTCACAATAAAAGAGGGGTGGTCTGATTTGTGGGGTGGGTCTGCTTGGAACTGTCTTGGAGGGTTCCGGTGGGGTCTGGGCAAACGTGCTCCCCTTTCATGGCTGGTCCTGTGGGGGGGTCTCAAGCTGCTCGTCTGGGAGGGTTGTGACCCCCTCTCTTGTCTTGCGAAGCGAAATATCTGGAGTGAACGCCGAGTCAACGCTGATCCTGGCCAGATCGATCCTGAGTGCAGGATCGGTCTCTGTGCCTCCCTGGCCGGGGGAGGAGGAGGAGGAGGAGGAGGAGGAGGAGGAGGAGGAGGAGGAGGAGGAGGGAAGGAGGGAGGAGGAGAGGAGGAGGGAGGAGGAGGAGGAGGAGGAGGAGGGAGGAGGATGAGGAGGAGGAGAAGGAGGAACAGGGGGAGGAGGAGGAGGAGGAGGAGGAGGAGGAGGAGGAGGGAGGAATCCCAGGGGGAGGCCCAGGGCAGGGCGCCGAGACAGGAGCGGCGTCGCCGCAGAGCCGGAGCCCTCTCTCTTCACGGGTGGGCTTAGCATCGCTCGGACGTGCGCGTTTTTTTCTTGGCGAGGACCATCGAGGAGCATTGAAGGGGAACGAAGAATGACATACACATAAGAACTCGGAGGCCCTCGCGGATTTCTCGGATCCGCGCGGACCTCCGAGTTTTTATGCTTATGTCATTCTTCGTTTCCTTAATTTTAGGCCACCTTGCGAACAAAATACACGTTCGAAAGCGAACAATGCACAGGGAAGTGGCCACCGAGCGACGGCAAGGGCGGAGGCTTCGCTCAATCTTCTGTCGGCAACGTGCTCAAGGGGAGGCTTCGCTCAAGCTTGTGTTGGTACCGAGCCCAGCCGACCAAAAAACAAACGACACCACCTACGGCCCTCCATGTTGCGCTCGGGCCCATCGGGGGCCCTAGCGTGTACCACGCAGAGGCCCACGCCAGCCTTCCTGGTATACGCTAAGCCCCGTGGGGCCGTAGGTGGGGTGGTGTCGTTTCCTGGTCCACCCAGTCTCTTCATGGGGGAGGCTTCGCACAAGCTTCTGCTGGGAACGAGCTCATGGGGGAAGCGGGAAGGGGCGGATTTTTTTAACGAGGCCCGGAAGGCCTCCGGGGGCTTCAGCATGGATGGCCGGGCTGAAGGGCAAGCGTTTGCATTATCCTGGCGCGCGCGCGCTGTTCAGTGTGTTTCGGCTCGAGCTTGCAGCCGTTTGAGCCCTTGTGGCGCCGGCCTGTGGAAGTGGCGGATCTTGCTGCTCTTTCTGGGAGGCGGCGCCAGGAGGGCGAAGAGCTCCCAGGAGCAGCAGCGCTGGAGCTGTTGGTGGGCAATGTGGCTTCTGCGGAGCAGCCTGCCGTGCAACAGCATCTGCGGACTCCCCGTCTGGCCCGTCCAGGACTCGACGCACGTTGCGCTCATGGTCTCCCTCGTCGTCGGGCTGGGCCTCTTCGCCCTCGACGCGCACACCGTGGCCTGTTTCGAGTGCAAGGACAGATTCTGCCTGCAGGAGGTCTTGGACTTTCTCTTCATCCTGCCGTGCACGTGGCTGATCTTTCAAATGCTCGGACACTTCGACGCGAAGCGCCAGGAGAGGCAGAAGGAGATCGAGACACAGCAGGAGAAGCTCCGGCACGCCTACCGCAACGGCGTGGAAGAAATGGACGCCATGCTGAATCGCTCCATGGAGGTCAACGCAGGTTTTGCAGAGGGCAAGTTGAGGGATTGCTGCAAGGACTTTATCCGTTTCGTCGAGTCCGCGGAGAGACAGTGCCGAGACGCCTTCACCGGGGCGCCTGAGAGGGAGGCGGCTTTTCTTGATGAGTTTCGTGCAATGCTCCGGCATTGGCTGAAGGTCTTCGAGGAGGTCTCGGTGGATCCCGTGCACAAGCCGATGCGCCTGGAGGCCTACCCGGGGGAGTTCGACCTCTTCAGGAGCGTGAGCACGCTCGCAAACGAGGTGATCGAGCGACTCCGCCGGCAGGCCAGCGGCCTCAGCATCCTGGACGGCCGCCGCAACGCGGACTCGGAGATGCTGAAGACGATCCTAGGGGAACAAAAAGTGGCATAAACATAAAAACTCGGATGTCCGCGCGGATTTCTCGGATCCGCGCTGGACCCCCCTGGCGGCGCCTCCGGCGCCACCCCTGGCGCGCTCCGCGCGCCAGGGAGGGGGGTCCAGCGCCGATCCGAGAAATCCGCGCGGACCTCAGATTTCTTTTATGTTTATGTCATTGTTTGTTCCTCTAGATCCACTCGCCGCTGGCCATCGGTGACCTGGAGGCCGGCGGGCCCGGCGCCGGCGCGGCCCGGCCGGTCTCGAGCCCCTCGCTGGCAGCCCTGGCGGCGGCGGAGGAGGCGGTCCCCCGCAGGAGCAGGAGGTGCGCTGGGTAGCAAATCATGGGAGCCTGGGATAGCCTCTCAATCCCGTCTTTCGCGTCGACTTGGCGTCGATCAGCGTCTGGGAGTCGATGAGGCAGCGCCGTCTTGGCGTCGATCCGCGTCGATTTGGCGATGATTAGCGGCGACTGGCGTCGAGGAGTGTCGCTTCGCAAGAGCCGACAGAAGGGTACGGTCAAGCAATAGCGAAGCGTCCTGACGTGCCCATAGGCCTAACAAACAATGTTCGATTTTTTTGTCGTTTCCACGAAATGTTATGAGAACATTTCTGGCTGGGACTGTCTTGTTTTCACACATCGGTTCTATGTTCTAAGGACATTGCTTCGTTCTTAGAACATTTTTTGGGTTCGAAGAAGATTTCGTGGTAGCCTATAGGAATGCTGGGACGGTCGGTCCCTTGCTCAGTACGGGAGGCTCCCGTGAGTTGCCGCCGAAGGTGCGCCTGGCTCAGCTGCTGCAGCGGGAGCTGCGTGGCGCGGGGCGGCGGCACGGGGCGGGAGCGGTACCCGCTGACCCTCGGCTGCGGCTGCCTGGAGCTCACGGTCTTGGGCGCGGACCACTGCGGCCTGCTGGTCGGTTTCCTCATTCGAAGAAGAAACAACGCCATAAACACGAACTTTTGGCGCTCCGCGCGGATCTCTTGGATCGGCGCCTGGGCCCCCCCATGCGGCGCCTCCGGCGCCGCGGATCCCAGAAATCCGCGCGGATTGGCGAAAGTTTATGTTTATGGCACTTTTTCTGCTTCTATTCATGGGCTCCATCTTGGTCATGTTCAACTCTCTCTCGAGCGCCGTCATCGACGAGGTCTCGCGCGCCGAGGCGTTGATCAAGACCTCGGCCGACCTGGTCTACGTCGTCTGCATCGGGGTGCTGCTTGCCCACGTGGAGAACATCAGCGCCGAGCTGCTCCTCGACAGAGAGGTGAGACAGCTGGAGCAGCAGAGGCAGGAGGTGGACCGCATCAAGTCGGAGATGGAGGACTTCTGGGGGAACGTGCAGCAGCTGATGGACCTCTGGCTGTACCGGACCATACCGCGGCTTGACCTCATGAAGGAGGTGCACCACCACCTGGAGGACTGCCCGCCCGCAGCATGGCTAGCAAATCTG